GGCACAGAGGCAGGGGCTGGCTGCAAAGAGAACATCAGCATGGTGTGATGTGTGAGAGCTTTTGGTCCTCATGGCAGAAATAAAGAAGGAAACCTTCCATTGATAGCCCTGTGGGTGCATCCTCTCTACCCCTAAATCTCTACACGTTTGTTCTATATAAGACTGTAAGCCTCCTGAGGGCAGGAACTTGATTCATTTAATTCTCTGGATCTTGTAGCACAAAAACAATAACATATCTGTTGGAAGAATGATCACATGCGTGAACCTTGCATTTTTCAAAAACATCATCTATCATGCAAACAGCCCAGACACCATGATAGGCTCTTAACAAAGACCCAGAGCTTTTTTATACCTAATCCTCAGAACTTTACCAGGTAGGTTCTTAAGCCCCCGGGGAAACCGAGGCTCAGAGAAGCTGAGTTGTCTGCCTGGAGCAACCCAGCTGGGTGGTGGCAGACGGGAATCCCTGTTGTGCACCCTCCAGAGCTGTTGTTTGCTCTCCCCTTTTTTGTGCCACCTGCCTTTCCTGTAACTAGGTGATAATGAATTCATTTCTCTCTTTTTGTTATTTATCAAAGCCATATGTAGCTGTCAATCAGAGTGGCTGTTCAGCAGGAGAGAAGGAGGGCTCTAACCTTGGGTCCTGTCACTAGGGCCCAAAGCAAAGGGTTGTCAACAACCTGGCAGGCCGGAAGCTCCACTGGTGGTTAAGTGGAGGTAGCCAGTGGGTGTTGTGGAGCTGGCTCTGAGCCAGCCGCAATGACCAATGCCAGGGCCCTGTGAAGGGGCCCAGGAGAGGGTGTATGCTGAGCTGGGGATGGCAGTGACAGTCATTTAGTAACGACTTGCTCTGTGCCAAGCACTGGGTTAAGCGCTGTACCCAATCCTGTGAGGTGGGCCCCTGTCCTCCCTGTTCCTGGGTGAGGAACAGAAGCTCAGAAGGGCTCCAGGGCCCACAGCTGGATTCAAACCCAGGGCTGCAGACTCCAGAGGCCCTGCCGACTATGTCCAGGAAGGGCTCCTGGGAGAGGTGTGTCCCTGGAGGTGGAGGGTGGAGAAGAAGGTGGAGAGGAGGGTGGGATGCTTCCAGAGCTTGTGCAGGGAAGAGTTGGCCAGAAGGAAGGAAAGCCTACCTCTCTGATGCAAGGTATCCTGAGATGAAGTGGCTGGGGACGAGGGTGGGGACAGGGCCTGCAAGGCTGGGCTAGGCAGGAGACAGGGATCTAGGGCATCGTCCTCAGATTCCACAGCAGGTTCAGAATTACACGGCTGCATACCTTTCCAGCAGGTCTCGACTTACAAAACCCTCCAGAGCACCCCCTAGGCTGTTGTCAGCACCCCCGAGGCTCTCCAGGGCCATTCTATTTGCCTGTCTGACAGGAGGGTTCCAGAGCCAGCCCTGGAGGAGCAAAGAGAGGGAGGCAGCAGCTGGGAGATCAGAGGTGCTGGACATAGCCTGAGGCCACGGAGTCCTGGCTGCCGGGGCCAGGGAGGCACAGGGCCTCCTCGTGCCTGGCACTGGGCCAGAACTCTAAATGTCTCATGTCCTCTGAGCCCCACCCTGAGACACCGGGACCACTCTCCTCACCATACAAGGTTTCAGCCTCACTGAAAACCTCTCTGTAACCACGAGCAAGTCACCGCCACACCTTTCTGGGTCTTGGTTCCCTCTTCTGTAAAACGGGGGGAGGGGCTGGAGTCAACCCTCCAGGTCTCTCTCAGGGGGAAGCTGAATGACTCTAGGTGTGACACCAGTGATGGCTGAGAGTCTACCTTCCCCCTGTCCCCTCTCTTCCCCATCGATCTCCAGCCTTGGGAAGCACCTGCTGAATCAACATAGATGGGTGGACCAGAAGGCCCTGGAAGGCAGTTCCCACATCCAGAAGCGCTCAGGACCCCTCAGACATACGCAGGTCAGGGCTGAAGGACCTTTGGGGGTCATCAGGGATAGCCTGTCCCTTTTACAGGTAAGACTGAGGCCCAGGGAGGACATGCAGACTAGGACGGAGGCCCAGCTTCCTTGCTCCTGGCTCCCAAGGAAAGGCCAGCTCCCATTCTCCTGCTGACCTCATGGTCTCCTGCCTTCTGCTCTGGTGACTAGCTTCCCAGGAGGGCAGGCGCCCCTCCTCCCTGCCCTCTGCTCTCCCCAGAGCCCTGGCTATGATCCGGGGACCCTGCTTGGACCCAGGAGGCTGCAGCCCCACTCGGACAGCGGAAGCAGAACAGGGGTTTTGTCTTCCACGAGAGTCTGTCTGTTGGCGGCGGGGTTGGGCTGGGTTGGCACAGTGAAGCCTTGTTTCCTTGAATACACAATCTGCAGCTTTCCACCCTCACCCGGGCCCTGACGGGCGGCACTTGCTTCCCTAGAGGTTCAGCTTCCTGGCCCCTGCCTGCCCCATCAGCCCTCCCAAAAACCTGGCAAGCAGTGCTGGCGCCAAGAGGTAGCTTGGAGGGGCCCAAGTGCCCTCAGTCTCCCTCAGAGTACCTCTCATCAAACTAGAAACAGCCTATGTAAAAAAAGTGAGTTTGCTGTGCAGATGAAGCTTGCAGACTGTTCCCTCAGCCGCATGCCACTTCCAACCATACTGCAGCCTCCCAAGTTCCGCTCATCTGAAGTGTCTGGGTTCTCCCACAACAGCTCCACCTTTGTTTTGGTGGCCAGTGGGCAGGGAAGCTATGGAAGCCCAGGAGAAGGCAGGCTCTGGGGGAAAGGAGAGACTGTGGCTAGAGGTGGGGACATGAGTGGACAATCCGCCAGGAACATAGAAGCAGGTGTTGGAGGTTTTCCAACATGAAAGCAGATGTCTGTGATGGGAAACCCAGAAGGAGAAGAACCCAGGATTTGGAGTCACAGACCTGGGTTTGAATCCAGGCTCTATCATTTTCTAGCTGTGTGGTCTTGGCAAGTTATTTAAGACTCCTTATCTGCACAAAGGTGCCGAAGAGCTCTGTGTCACGGGGCTGTTTCAAGGACCTGGTGAGTGCCTCAGCACTATCAGCACAGGGATCTCTGTGGTGTCTGAATCAGCTCTGCACTCCCCGATGGGGGCAGTGACAGACACGGATCCATACCCACCCCTGCATCTGCCCGCCCCGGGAGTGTTCAAGCTACTCTTCCAGGAAGCCTGGAAATCCTGCTCTCCCAATCTCGCCAGTCTTCGGCTGGGAAGAAACTTTAGAAGAACTCCAACCAAATATCCTGGAGTCGAGGAGGTGGCGCCCTGGGATTTTCTCAGAGGTTCAGAGGGGCTGGGGGTCAAGGACTTGATGTTCCCCCAGAAGGACCTTGGGAAAGTATGGGACTCCTCAGTCACCCCCAACTGGGAACCAGAAATCCTTCCCCCTGCCTTGGGGCCAAATGCAGAAGCTGCTGCAAGCTGTCCCGAGCAGGGGAGAGCCTTTCTCAAACTGTGCGGTTGCAAAACGCCCCTTCCTGGGCTTCCGGCTTGATGTCTGGGCACTGACAGCTGCATATGGTGAGGTCTGCCCCCACCTCCTGCCCAGCCAAGGGGGAGCCGGCCTTGCTGCATTGCTTCCTCGGCCTTGGGCTGCCTGTGCCGGGTGGGCTAGACCTCCTGGCTCACACCCAAGACTCAGCCTCAAGTCAATTCTATCCCCTTCCAGAACCACTCCCGACCAGCACCCAGATCGTGGAACAGAGGCTGTTCCCTCTCCAGGAGCCAGAGGCAGGGAGACAGGGAACAGGAGGTGGGGAAAGGTACCAAAGGGAGGGGCACTGGCACCTTCCCCACCCCCCAGGCACACACATGGTTGGGAGAGAGTGGCTGTGCATCTTAGACCCAACAGAGTGGGACCCAGGGATGGGCCGGAGGGAGCTGGGCCCTCTCTCTCTAGCCCCTCCACAGAGATATTAAGACTGTTTTTGTGGGGGGACGGGGGGATGAGTCCACAGGCCTGGGGGTGCCCATCTACCCTGGTGAGGGCACAGCACGTGGAATCTGATGGAATAAAGGGTAGGTATGGGGGTAACAGGGCAAGTCACATACTGAAGGGGCCCCTTTTGACTAGGGTGGGTGTGGGACATTGGGGGTTCGTGTGGGGAGGGAAGGGGATATATGGAGTGGGGAGGAGAGATGGGGGCCTTGTGACAGAAGCAGGTGGGCAGTGACTGCAAGCTGCTGGGTGCAGGGGGGTGGGGCGGGCAGGAGGAGGAGGTGGCCTTCCAAGCCCAGAGGGGACTTGGCCCACAGGGATGACTGGAGTGAGGTTTACACGCCTGCAGAGGGGGAACAGGGGCTGAGGGATCCCTTTCTAGGGAGACCACTTGTGAGTGAAGGATTGGGGTCCTTTTTAATGAGTGGGTGGAGATGGAAAGGGCAAGTCTTCGCCCCCAGTTTGCTGGTAGATGCTAAATAACTGGAGAGGAAGTTGGGGGAATCCCTGCCCAGAACCCACCTTGAGGGAGACCTGAGATCAGGAGAGGAAATGAAAAGACCTTAAGGAAAGGAATGTGGTTGGCATGTGGTGTCCAGGGTCACTGGGGTGGGTGTCTTTGGCCAGCGTGTGTTGGGGTGGGGGTGGGGAACGCGAGCAGCTGGGATGGGGGAAGGAAGGCCGCTGGGTCCTCAGCCTCGGTGTGTGCCTTGTGGGGTGGTGGAGAAGCGCCACTAACAGGGTGGGGGGCCCGGGACCCACACGTGTGGTACTGGGGGTGGGGCTCGCGGGGCCTGGCGATTATCTGGAAGGAGGTTCGGGGTCCCCAACTCTGTGGGCGCGTCTATGGTGTACCGGAGGCAGCACAAATATGAGTCACCGCCGCGTGCCAGGGCCCGGGGGTTCCCCAGACTAACGTGCGTGGTGGGATGCCGGGTCTTGATCTGGAAGGGGCCGCGGGGTCCCCAACCCCGGTGTGTCTGGGTTCGGGGAAGCTTGGCTGACTGCTGGGGTCCCGGGTCGGCGCGGGATCCGGGGATCAGGGGGTTCGGGGACCGATACCGGGTAGTGGGGCGGGCGGGGGGCCGGGTCGCGCGGGCACTCACTGCTTGAACATCTTCTCCATGTCCTTGATCTGCTTCCTGGAGAACTCCTTGAACTCAGTGTAGGGGTTGAAGACGCGGCGGCTGGGCGACTGGGGCTCGCCGATGCCCTGGTTGAGGTCGGCGCGCCGCAGCAGCTTGGCGCTCAGCTCGCAGTCCGCGCTGCCCAGCGCCTCGGCCGCCTCGTCGGGCGCCCCCGCCGCCGCCGCCGCCGCCCCGTTCAGCCCGGGTTGCTCCGGGGTCTCGCCGCCGCCCTCGCCCTCCATCTGCAGCCGCCGGCTCAGCTTGGTGGCCAGCTCGTCCGTGGCCATGGTGGCCCGCACGGCACTCGCCTTGACCGGGCCCCTGCTCGCAGCGCAGCGCCGCCGGCCGCGCTCTTCCTCTTCCTGACACTCCCCGGGCCAGGCACCGCCCCCGAAGGTGGGACTTGGGCCCTGGCGGGGACCGCGCGCCCCGCCCCCGCCCCCGCCCCCGGGCCCGGACCCGCGCGGCGTGCGCGTGATCGCTCCCGGCAGCAGCGGGTCGAGTGTACTCTGCGCGCCCCGCCCGCCGTCGTCTGCCCCCCGCGAGGCTGGGGAGCGCGACGGAAAGCCATTGCCCTCTTGGTGCCAGCTGTAGCAGCTGAGCGGGAGGGGTCCGGCTGGGGGCCGGGACCGGGCGGGAAGGAAGAGGGCTCCTCCCCCGCGGCTTGGGTGAGGAGCGGGGCTTGCTGGGGGGCAGGGGAGCGAGGAGGGGTGCCGCCCCACCCCCTTCTCCGGAATCCCCACGCCGTGAAGTCATAATCCTGTATCTGTGACACCCTGTCGGTTGCTATGGAGACGACTCGCCGTTAAACACTGGCGTTCTCAATGAGGGTTGCAGGGGTTCCGAGGCGGACCTGAGGAGCACAAACCCCTGTTTAGGGTGAACCGTGGCGGGCGCCGCTGGCCTCTTGGAAGAGGACAGACTAGCAGCTGCGAGGGAGATGGGGCTGGGCTTCACCCCTAAAAGGGCCCCTGGAGACGGGGGGTGAGGGACAGGACAGGAGAAGGGGCTGGTGGTCCTCTCTCCCCAGGCCCCGCACCATCACACAGATGACTTGGCAGAATAGCCGCTGGGCCAGTGTTGTCGCCTGTGACTGTACTTTAGGGAAACTAACAGGGAGATCATGATGTCGCCATTTTGATGGGGTCACCAGAGGAGAGATGTCCTCTCCAAAGGCTCCTGGACAGGGCTAGGGAAAGAGTTCAGATAATAAGTATCTCTGTGGTCTGGGCTGTCACCTCACAACTGCACAACTCTGGACCTTCAGCATCAGAACCACTGGGGCCTAGGTTAATAATACAGATTCCCGGGCTCCAATTTGGACAGACAAAACTGATCTCTGGGGTGGGATCCAGGAATCTACATGTAAACAAGCACCCAGTGGAGTTCTGCTCACTGAAATTTGAGAATCCCTGATTTAGAAGGACTATGCTCTGTGCATGTTCTCTGAAATGTTAGGTCAATCAGGACCCCTCTACTGAAACTGCTCCAACCAGCCAAGGTGTAGAGAAAAGATGCATGCAGGGCCCCCAAACCAGTGTGCTCTGGAGGCAGGGAGCCCTCGAGAATGTAAAGCCAGCAAGCTGTTACAGTGATTTGCACAGAACAGACACTCAGTTGATATTTGTCAATTTGCTCTGTTTAAGAACATTGCTGAATTAATTTAAAAGGTATTTTTAAAAGAATGAAATTGAGGAAAAAACCTTCAAGGTTCAGAAAATGTGAAGTTCTCATTTACTTGTTTATAGAAATTGTTTTTGAGTCCAATAAAGAAGCTTAGCTTAAATGATTTTTTTTTTTTAATCTCAGAATTAAGTTTCTCTTAGTTTTGGGCAGTTTGGTCCAGCTATTTGCAAAAGACAGGCTTCCATATCTCCCATATGCAGCCCTGAAGGACCCAACAGAAGCAAGATAGTTATTTAAGGAATGTAAAGGACTAGGACAGGATGCAGATTCAAATGTTTAAGATGATGTCTGCAGATGATGTTTGTAGATGCTTAAGTTTGTTGAATTCTTAGTCTTCCTCACAAAGCAGATAATTTCAAGACTCTGGTGAGCCTCAATTTACTCCAATGTATGATTTCCAATGGTTCTGCATAAAACTGGGTTGCCGTTTTATGAAATTGTTTGCATCTGCTTGACGTGGGCGCAAACTTCACAGTGAGGAGATAATGTGAGGGTTTTGCCTTCTTGCAAAACAACTTACATATATATGTGAAGAAACTGGGGTTTGGGTTTGAATTATGTGGACTGCCTGTGTGTAGTAAGCTCTCTGGTCAGTTACCCATGTGGCTTTGTGTGGACACAGCTCACGGGAGCGAGGGTTGCTTTCCATGACACACAGGTTGGAGGAATTCCTGCTCGTTACCGATAGCATCTTGCAGGAGGGCTGCTGAACGCCGGAGCCTTGCAACTGTTAAACTCAGGCAGAGCTCAGGAAATGCTGCCCGGATGGGTGAGTCGTTTTAACACCTCTTGGGTTGATTTTTCTCACAGGTTTTTGGAGTTTGCAGAGCTCTGAGCCTGTGACCACAGGGTGAGACCTCAAGCTGCCCAGTACTGTGGCCCCATTTCAGAGGCCTTGGGCCTGGGCCAGAGATGGACGCTAGGGGCTGTCTTTTACTCGAGGTTTTTTTCTTCATTGGTCATTGGTCATTGGGTTTCAAGAAAAGCACTTTTTTTCAGGAATCAAAGAAGCAGTGATGGAACGAAAAGCAGAGAAAACTGATGAGCCCTGATGGGCGGTGAAACTTCCAGGAAATATCACTTGCGTCTTGATTAGGGGAAATCACTTTTGAGTGACCCTGAATTTTGTGCCCCAAGCATAGATTCTGGCAGAAAGAAACGATCTGGACTGATGACACACTACAGCATTTGGTCATGTGGAAAGAATGATCTTCAGGAAAAATCACACCCTTGGCAAAGGCTTTTTACAGAGGCAAGGGCGAGCCGGCCAATTCTGACAATATTCCAGTGGCAAGGGAGCCAGGCTGACTTAGTCATCATTACTTATGTTTCTTCTCTTCCTCCCACATCTCCTTGTATAACTGTCTTTTGGGGAGGGGTGAAGTGATAGTAAGAAAAACAACAGCACTTTGAAAAAGGGGTGGGGGGAGAAACAAGAAGGGGAGAAAGTTGGGAAGAGCTCTTGAGTGATGGGGAGATGGCACTGGGGACATTCTGGAGCCTGAGAGAACTGTGTGGTCCCTCCAGCCTGAGATGCTGGGAAAACAGGAAGGGATTTGGGAGATGGCAGAGATGAAGTTGGCTCACAAAATGCAGGGCTCCCTTAGCACTTCACAAATACCAGCTTACGAATTAATCATTACAAACACTCCGCAGTCATCAGGAAACCCTTGATGGATGGAGAAAGATGCACAGAGATCAAAGTTCAGGGGCAGCAGCAATATTCATTTGGGGCAATTGGAGTGAGAGCAGCACGGGGTCACAGCCAGGTTGACCTCAGAGGCTCTCTCATCTCTTGCAAGATTTGGAAGCTATGCAAAAGGTGTCATGGGGAGAGGCGCTGATGTCAGGCATTTATGGGACCACTGAGGGGGGAAAGGGCAGGACAAAAAGCCAATGACGATAGGTCAACAGCTGCAGGTAGACCCATTTGCAGGTTATTGGAAACTAACTTATCTATCCAGCTCTCTCTCTCTTTTTTTTTTTTTTTTTTTGAGATGGAGTCTCGCTCTGTCACCCAGACTGGAGTGCAGTGGCGTGATCTCGGCTCACTGCAACCTCTACCTCCTGGGTTCACGCCATTCTCCTGCCTCAGCCTCCTAAGTAGCTGGGGCTACCGGCACCCGGCACCACGCCCAGCTAATTTTTTTGTAATTTTAGTTGAGATGGGGTTTCACCGTGTCAGCCAGGATGGTCTCAAACTCCTGACTTTGTGATCCACCCGCCTTGGCCTCCCAAAGTGCTGGGATCACAGGCGTGAGCCATCATGCCCAGCCCTCCAGCTCTCTTTTTGTGGTTACCTTAGACACTATGAATCTACTTGAAAACCAAGACGATCGATCCTTCGAGTGAGCTGCAGGTGTCCAACGGGGTGTGTTTTCTGCTTCTAAGCGACAGGCAATTCCATGTGCAAGTTTAACACCCTGATAGGCCCTAGCCTTAACTATGTTTTAAACTCCCCAAAAGTGTTTTTGTGTTTGTGTGCATGTGAGGGAGATACCTTAAAATCCAGCAATGCTGCTTCCACAGTGCTCTCCTGGGCCCCTTCCAAAGATAGTAATAATATGGGCAGCTGGTTTCGATTTTTATACTTGCAACAGCTACTCTGTGAAAACGGTGTACAGCAACAGCCAGGCAATCCATACATACTTATTCAATGTGCTGGGCACTGGGTACTGGTCCTGGAATTCTCCTGGTTGTAGGCAAGCTGGGGGACAGGGAGGTGAGAGCTGGAATCATCATTCTGAAGTGTGATATTTATTGGACCCCATACTAGGCGACTGATGGAGAGGGGCTACCACTCTTCCAGCTGAACCCCGCTCTGGTTGGGACCCAGCGATTATTTTCCATAGCGAAGTGTTCAGAAAATATCTGTTACTCCCAACACAACCTCCTGGGGGAAGGGACCTGTCTGTCTGCTTCAATTCTGGATCCTCAGCACCCACATCAGGGTGCCTGGCCCGAGGTGAGTGCTGTAGAAATAGTTGTTGAATGAATGCATGAAGGCCTGCTCCGCCTGAGGGCTGGGGACAGATTGGGTGTTTTCTGTGTCCCCTCCAGAGCATCCGGTGGCCCAGTTTTAGGTCTCAAGGTCACTGCCAAGAAAGAGAAGCTGCTAAAGTGACAGCTTGGTGCACCCACATGACTTAACACAAAAGTTAACAGGAACTCTTCAAAAACCAGCCTCTCAAGTGTCTGTCTCCTGTCTTCCCTGAGGACAGCATCAGTGACATCAGATAGGGGTTGGGGCTGGGTGACCTGCTAGTCCTCAGCCATCACTGTGGCCCAGAGGTCATTTAAGTAGCTCTTTGCTTAGCAGACAGGCAGAGGGGATAGATGGAAGGTACAGGTAAACACTGCATGTGGCCACCGCGAGGACACCCCAGAGCCTGGGAAATGGACAGGGACATTGTAAAACCAACACATAATGGACCAGTGCAGAGAGAGGCAAAACCAGTCAGAAGAAATAGCATGGTGCCTAGCCCAGGGACACCTGACTTAAGGTATTTTTGTTTGTTTGTTTTGTTTTTTGAGACAGGGTCTCTCTCTGTCACCCAGGCTGGAGTGCAGTGGCACACTCACTGCTCCCTGCAGTCTCAACCTCCCAGGCTTAAACGATCCACCTCAGCCTCCTTAGTAGTAGCTGGGACTACAGGTGTGCACCACCACACCCAGTTAATTTTTGTATTTTTTTGTAGAGACGGGGTTTCGCCA